CCTTGCATTTGTCCAAATCAATTCAGATGACACTACTGGAACTGACCCTCCAACTCAGCTCTATTTTTGTTGTGCTCTGTCTTTCTACCTGGGCAGATTCTCCACTTGTCACACCACAGGTAATATCTTTTTCATCTATGCATTCTGAGTCACCGCTAGAAACACCTATTTTAATAGTTTCTGAGATGTATAAGATGCAGTTTTCAAAATTAAACTTTACAATTTAATATCAGTGAAAGTCCAGAAGTCACCATATTTTCAGAGAAGACACTTCCAGGAGAAGAAATGACAGATTAGCTGCCAGAACTTCTTGACACAACAGGTAATGGAGCAGATTTTTGCAGCCCAGTCTTTCCTGGGCTGTTTCAAAAAGGTCTTTCACGCTTCAGGACATAAAAATCACAGTTCACATCTAAGGTGTGATCACTTCCATGTTGTTCTAAAGCAGGGCCACATTAAACCCTGTCCTGTTAAGCTGATTCATCATCCTGGGCAAGGTCCAATATAACATATAAGTTAAGAGACAGTAAAAGTGGTTAAAAACTGAATTAAAAAAAAGTCTAGTCTTGACCTAACCTTAAACCTACTCCTATTCCCAACCTCTGCCACCACCACCAGGTTTTTACTGAAGTCAAGCAAGAGTATAAAATGTGACTGAAGTCCCCTGGTGGGACTGCTTTACACCTCTATCTCTGTAACAAAGTCCTAAGAAAAGCTTTCAAAAACGCTCAGTTATGAGCATTGCTTCTGTAGAGCAACCCTGTGGAGGCAAAACTCACTGACAGCATGACACCGACAAAACGACAATGAAAGATTTCTCTCTTCCTTGGTTACCTCCCCACACACGTTATAACGTGCGAAGTCATCTGACTCATTTCGGTGAACTTTGCACAAGTATAATTGACTAGCAAAAGCTACAAGAGTAGTTTCAAGTTTAGAGAAGAGGCCAGAAGGAAGAATTCTATATATTCCTATTCCTCCATAAGACTAAAATACACGCATGCTATAATGCTAAGCAAGTTTTCGCCACATACGTGATAGCACTGCCCATCTTGCATCCAAAATTTCTGCACTCTGACTTCCTCTACACAAATCTGCATTACGCAATTCCCACCACTCGGAAGAAACAGAAAAGCTCCAAATTAGCTTTTCCTAAGGCATACTGACCAGCTGACAGTGGCTTTTAGCACTTTCTGTGTTAACAACGAATCTTGCAGAACATAGAAGAACAAGCTCTACCTTCACAACTCATCGCTAAGAAGGCTTTGCAAACCTAAAGAACAAGAAACATCCACTTTCTCTCTTTTGTGAAGACCATGCTGTTGACCACTTTTAGTCACTCTTTGTACCTTACCCTTCCTTAGCCAACCATCAATTCCTTCTCGGATTTTTGACCCTGCTTCTGATAAGCTTTACAGGAAGAAAATACGGTCCTACAGCACCAAAAGAAAACATTCAAAGAGGTACAAGCATCAAGCAACTCATTAAAGAAATAATCCTCTAGACATCTGCTCACTGCTATAACCCAGCTTTTAGCCATGAAATTAGAACCTATAGCAAACGTCCCAGCACATCAAGAAGAAATACTCCTATCGAAGTCCACTTCACAGTCTGTCTATAGCAATAAAGAATCCCGAGTGGTGCAGCTTCAAGAAGAAAAAGGTGGCTGCAGAAGCAAAAACCTTTCCCACAGAACACCTGACAGAAATGCCTGTGCTTCCCCAGACAGCGTGTACACACGATCGCAGGTAAGTCTCCTCTAAAGACAGAGGCTCTGGAGTTTTAGGCCACGTCTATTTCTATCCACCCCATAACCAGTACACCTGCTTGGGGAGATAAAGCCAAAGTTCCCTGAACCTACTCCGGACAACTTCATATTCATAAACAGTAAAGACTTCGGGACAAGACCAGCAACGAGTCGTCACCTCCCATCCCAGTGGCCCGATTTTACACTGCCTGTAAACAACAACCACCACCAGACATTGCACGCTGTTTCTCAGTTGGCGGTTTCTCTTCCTCTAACTTCCTCCCATCAACATCTGGTAACGTTGACTAAGAACCTTGTGGCAGAAAAGGACCTAGAAATATTTTTATGGAACTATCCCATTAATGGGTAAAAAATCAACGCCGAGTACCCAACGGAAAAACCTGTATTTTAACATGGCTATACAGACACTCGCTGCGGTGGACACCGTCTGACACGGGCGTACACCATCCACCTGTGCTCCAGCCACCACTTCCACCAGCCAGGGAGTTGAAACGGCACTTCAGGCCCAGTGCGGCAGCTACCACGCAGGCCCAGCGCGGATGGTTTCGCAAAGTCTCTCCGTTAACGATCCCAGAGCAGAGACAGCACGCACACGTACCGAAAAACACCCCAAGTACACCCCAAGAATGGAAAGCAACGAAACCAGCCCCGGCTCTGCTCTG